GAATTATATTCAATATCCTGTGATAAACCATAACGGAAAAGAATATGAAAAAGAATGCATATATATATATATATATATATATATATATATATGACTGAATCACTTTGCTGTACACCTGAAACTAACACAACATTGTAAATCAACTATACTTCCAATATAAAAAATTAAATTTTAAATAAATAAATTACTACAAAGATTTTCATCAACTTAATCATGAAAAGAACTATCCGTATTAAAAGGCATGTTACATTTTTATCAAATTCAATGGCTTACAGTTGAGCAAATATTCTACTCAACGTAGTATTAGATAAAATTAGTACTTGGTGATTTGCACTTGAATCTGTAAAATTGCCAGAATATAAGAAGCATGTCCTAAAAGTAATAGGACCTCTTTTTACAAATACACCATCCAAATAAACATTTCCCTTAATTTCATTACCGAGCTAGATTAGGTATTTTCTCCATTAATGTTGCCCTTACTCACTATAATTCAAGCATTTGGGAGATAATACTTCAGAACACTGTAACTAGTAGAGAGAGCATGGGTTTTGGATTTATACAATCTTAAATTTGAAACCTTATATTGCTTTTTGCTATGTGACCTTGAATATGTTACCTAAGCCTTTGAGTATCATTATTTTCAACTGATAGAAAAAAAAAAACAATGCTGAGTTGCCATGAAGATTAAATAAAATAGTATGAACTAATTACCTAAAACAGTGGCTGGAAAATATTAGAACCCTAGCAAGCTCTTGCTGATACTAGCATTATTAGCCTCGGGGTGGTTGACAACATCTTATTTCTTGGTAACTGTGTCTCACAATTGTATCTCAAGTCTACTTCTTGTCATCAAAAGTATAAGTAATTTTTAATCATCCATCTTATTCCATAGATTTAGTTCTGAATGACATCGAGTGCTCTCTAAAAGTCACATCCATTTGCAAATAGGTGAAGAGTACACACAGTTGCTAAACTGTTATGAATGTGTCAAAAAATATGAAGGAATTATTTTAAAAAGTTCAAAAGTATTTGCAGTTATGGCAACATCATTACAATAAATATAAACTCTCCCAAGTTACCTCTTTAAAAGGCCAAAAGTAATTCAAATGTGAAATTATAGTTTTAAAAGTAAAATAAATCCTCTTACCTTACAGCCATACCTCAAGCCTAACTAACCAATAAGCTTTTAAGGAAAAAAAAAAAAAAGCTTACAGTGACAGTTAACTATATATAACTAATTGTAATATTTGCCCCAAGTATCTTTCTTTTTTTTTTTTTTTTTGCTATTTACATCTATATTATTTATTTTAAATACCATCAAAATGCAACTTAAAAATAACATCACATCAACTTTACCAATTATATACACATAATTTATGCAAAAATTTTAAGGATTTTTGCCCCATAGTCACACAATAAGGACACCACTAATCAACTTTTTATAATTAGCTGACACACATTCATATACTAATTAATTTTATTAGCCTAAAAAAACGAAGTGACATATGGCCCCAAATAATCATCCATTTACAAAACAATTAGTATACTATTTGCTGTGCAGTCAACTAATATTTATTGAGCACCTCCTATTTTCTGGCACCAAAAACATATTTACTACCTTACAGAATTCAAAAAACCATCCTTCAAAATAGGTAACAGTATTTTTTATATAACAGATGAGAAAACTAAGAATCAGGCTGACAGGAATTTGCTTAACACCATAAAGAGTAATATATTTAATTATATTAACTGCCAATTCTAAGGGATCATCTACTTTTCACATTTGTGTTGCTACGACTATGTCTCCACTTTTACGTTTCATTTTATTTCTATCACCATCATTTCTCTTTCCTACTTGTCTCTCCAAGGTTATCACCACCTATCAATAATTTCTTTTACTAAAATACATGTAAGTGGGAAGGTGTAACTTTAAGTATTACTCTATCATTCTGGAATTTTAAAACAACATATGCACACATTTTAAAAAGTTACACATATTAAATAGATAAAAAACATAATTTTTAAAAAGTACTGAAAAAATTAACCTCATTGAAATTTTTGGTTAATAAATACAACCTTAAATACAAGGTGTCAAGAAGCTTAAATGACTGTGTATTATGATGGTCTGCCACATATAAGGTACATATTCTTTCAAGTTTAAAGTACCTCTCCTAAGAACTGGGCTAATGGTTGATTCCTTATTTTAGTTCAATTGGAATAAAATTGTAACTGGAGTATTTTCCTTTATAACACAGAAAACTATAGCCCAAAGGCCAAGCAACACATAATTTAATAAATATTGAGAAGAATCCAACAGTTAATAATATCAAATGCTAGCCAGCATCTAGTTTTATGTGAGTATAAGATTATCATATAGAAAACTTGTTCTATTAAAAGTATCTAATTAGAAAGGCAAGAAACTATAAAGAAACAGACTATGTTAGAGATCTAGTTAAGTGCCCGTTTTTTACAGATTAGAGACTGAGAATCTTGATAAGTAACTTGTCCAAGTCACATGTCAATGGTAGAACCAAGACTGATTCCTGAGCCTGATTTCTATTCTGGGCTCTTGTTTACCATATCCGTGTTCTCTCATTTTACGACTTAACCATATTATTTATTCACTACATTTTAACTTCAAATTTGGAAAATTAACAAGTAATGAAACTTCTTCTACCCAACAACTCTCTAGTTTTTCTCAAAAATGAGCATTCTAAGAACAGGACACAGTTCATAACATTAGAGCACTTGCTTAGCTTCATTAACATAAGAACTTTACACAGGAAAAAGCTCACTTTACATATAATTTGGTTTGGCAAACAAAAAGCTTTCATAAAAGTCACAGCTTTAAAACCTCTTTAACCTATATCATAGTAACTTCATACGTTGTGAAATGGTTTTCTATAATCTTGACATTTTCTTCAGATAGCCGGTTTTCCTGTTTTAGCTGCCTTATAAGAGCTTCCAAAGACTTCAATCTTCCTAGAGTTTGTTGTTCTTGTAACTCAAGGAGAGTTATCTTTGAATGTAGTTTAGAGACTTTCTGCCAAAGATGTTCTGGACTCTCAACCACTGCGCCACCAGGGAAGCCCTGTACAACATATTTTATAATGACTTAAAAAGGCTATTTACATCTATATTATTTATTTTAAATACCATCAAAATGCAACTTAAAAATAACATCACATCAACTTTACCAATTATATACACATAATTTATGCAAAAATTTTAAGGATTTTTGCCCCATAGTCACACAATAAGGACACCACTAATCAACTTTTTATAATTAGCTGACACACATTCATATACTAATTAATTTTATTAGCCTAAAAAAACGAAGTGACATATGGCCCCAAATAATCATCCATTTACAAAACAATTAGTATACTATTTGCTGTGCAGTCAACTAATATTTATTGAGCACCTCCTATTTTCTGGCACCAAAAACATATTTACTACCTTACAGAATTCAAAAAACCATCCTTCAAAATAGGTAACAGTATTTTTTATATAACAGATGAGAAAACTAAGAATCAGGCTGACAGGAATTTGCTTAACACCATAAAGAGTAATATATTTAATTATATTAACTGCCAATTCTAAGGGATCATCTACTTTTCACATTTGTGTTGCTACGACTATGTCTCCACTTTTACGTTTCATTTTATTTCTATCACCATCATTTCTCTTTCCTACTTGTCTCTCCAAGGTTATCACCACCTATCAATAATTTCTTTTACTAAAATACATGTAAGTGGGAAGGTGTAACTTTAAGTATTACTCTATCATTCTGGAATTTTAAAACAACATATGCACACATTTTAAAAAGTTACACATATTAAATAGATAAAAAACATAATTTTTAAAAAGTACTGAAAAAATTAACCTCATTGAAATTTTTGGTTAATAAATACAACCTTAAATACAAGGTGTCAAGAAGCTTAAATGACTGTGTATTATGATGGTCTGCCACATATAAGGTACATATTCTTTCAAGTTTAAAGTACCTCTCCTAAGAACTGGGCTAATGGTTGATTCCTTATTTTAGTTCAACTGGAATAAAATTGTAACTGGAGTATTTTCCTTTATAACACAGAAAACTATAGCCCAAAGGCCAAGCAACACATAATTTAATAAATATTGAGAAGAATCCAACAGTTAATAATATCAAATGCTAGCCAGCATCTAGTTTTATGTGAGTATAAGATTATCATATAGAAAACTTGTTCTATTAAAAGTATCTAATTAGAAAGGCAAGAAACTATAAAGAAACAGACTATGTTAGAGATCTAGTTAAGTGCCCGTTTTTTACAGATTAGAGACTGAGAATCTTGATAAGTAACTTGTCCAAGTCACATGTCAATGGTAGAACCAAGACTGATTCCTGAGCCTGATTTCTATTCTGGGCTCTTGTTTACCATATCCGTGTTCTCTCATTTTACGACTTAACCATATTATTTATTCACTACATTTTAACTTCAAATTTGGAAAATTAACAAGTAATGAAACTTCTTCTACCCAACAACTCTCTAGTTTTTCTCAAAAATGAGCATTCTAAGAACAGGACGCAGTTCATAACATTAGAGCACTTGCTTAGCTTCATTAACATAAGAACTTTACACAGGAAAAAGCTCACTTTACATATAATTTGGTTTGGCAAACAAAAAGCTTTCATAAAAGTCACAGCTTTAAAACCTCTTTAACCTATATCATAGTAACTTCATACGTTGTGAAATGGTTTTCTATAATCTTGACATTTTCTTCAGATAGCCGGTTTTCCTGTTTTAGCTGCCTTATAAGAGCTTCCAAAGACTTCAATCTTCCTAGAGTTTGTTGTTCTTGTAACTCAAGGAGAGTTATCTTTGAATGTAGTTTAGAGACTTTCTGCCAAAGATGTTCCTTACTTACATCTTGTCTGCAGTACGAATGTTCAATCTGTAAAACTTCCATCTCATTGTCTACATCCTTATATGAGTCTTCAACATCTATGTCTTCTTCCATTTCCACCTTTTCTTTGGGGGCAGGTATAAAAGAATTAATTGTAGGTTTGGAATTTTCTGTAGGTACAAAAATGGCAATAACAGATTCTTTATTTGTGTTTAATTCTTCAACTCTTTGAGTAATTGTGCTGAAGAAGAATGGATTTTCCTGTGCTGACTTAATTTCCACAGAATTATTTGTAAAGTGTGGGTTAGTAAGATGATTGGTAGTTATTTCAAGCACTTCTTGGGCTTCCAAAGACTGCTGAATACCTTCTGAATTTGAAGTTGTCAAAGTAACAGCTGTAGAATTTAGATTCTCAAAAGATGTGTGAAAACCACCTATACCTATGTCTTGATTAACTGATGTTTCCAAGGTAGGTTCTGATTTTCTGGTATCTTGTTTAAGCAGATTAAGAGTTAATACATTATTTTGTAAACTTTCTGTTTTTGGATCTGGTGGCTTTACCAAGGCAGATGAATCAAGTAATTCTGAATGTTCAGGGGGGACATCTGTGTCAACTGTATTCTTCTTTGGCTCATTTGATGAAAATGACTCTTCTGACTTGGCTTTGAGGCATACTTCTTTCTCATCTTTCAATTTTTCCTTCTGAGATTTTTTTTTGGAAGGGTCTTTCTCCTATAAAAAATATTTTCAAATTCTAATAAAGATGTCCTTACTAGGCTTATTCCCTTATTAGTTAGTGCTGACTATTTCAGTACAACTATGAGCAGTATACTGGCCAAGCAAATTTATTCAGCTAACAAAATGTTTTCAGTATATAACAGCTCAAAATATACTTGAAAACATTTTTAAAAAAATATTATGCATAATCAATATATCAATATAATGGAAAAAATCTCAGATCACTCACAAGACCAGTAAAAAATCTAGATCATTAATTTACATTAATAACTTAACCTGATAATTTATGTATGTGTTATCCTTGGCTCCTCTGAAGCTATGCTTCAAAACGGTTTAATCTTTAAAAAATTATTATACTTTCAGTAAAAGCACAAATTGGTTTTTTCTTTTTCTCAAATATGTGTTTTCCCAGCAGTTATCTTTCCCTCTCATCCCCTCTACCTGATTACCTGCCACCCTGTAATCTGCCACCAAGCTCAGCATTATCCCCTTCTCCCTGCCTCCAATACCTGATTCTCTTCAGGCAAAGAAAATATTGTTGGAATTGCAGTTTGTTTCAAATAGCGAATACCCCATCTGATGTCAAGAGAGTCAGGAGTAAAATGGTCACTACACAGGAACTGGTATTTACTGGGAACCCATGAATCTCGCTTCATGTTCTTTAACCATTTTTCAAGTCTTTCTTTGTCATGTAGAGGAAACGGGTAAAAGCTCAGCTTCCGGTCTTTACTGTTTCGTCCCCGACGGTTCTTGCAGCAAATCGCTGCGCAATAGCGGGGCATCACTGCGGCGAGGCCACAGGAGACCCGGGCCGCCGACCGGCACAGGCCGGCCTTCCTCGCTGAGGCTGCCCCAAGTATCTTTCAACCACATGATTTGTTTGGTGAGGTCAAGGGTGTTAGACATTTTTAGAAAGGAATGAATATGATGACCCTATATTATACTAAACCCATTTTTACACCCAAATCTTCATTAAAATATTAAACACAAATAAGAATGAACACAACTTATACATTATAAAATACTCATATAGGGAATAGAGAAACTAATCAATTTTCACATTTAATTTCTATTTTCCAAATAGATAGTTTTAGTAAAATGTTCTACCTTAGTGTACAAGTGTGATTAAGCTATTTGAATTTCATCAAATTAACAGGCAATTTTTGCATTTGACTTTATTACATGGAGTCAGCCTCAGTCAATACTTTCACATATTGACATTAGTTCTGTTTAAATTTCTTTTTGTTTTAACACTTCTTGGGAACTTGATGAACATCTGAAGGGCTTTGGGCTAAGTGTTTTATGTGGATTATATATTTCTCATTTTATTCTAACAGAAAACACTGTGAGGTAGGCTCTACGATTAACCACATGGAGGCATGAGCAAGTCGAAGTTTAGAGATGAAGAATTTTGCCCCAAATGACACAAGTACTATAAGACAGAGCTGGGAAAACGAATTCCAACACCTTTTCAAATTCGAATACAAAATTCAACAGCTTGACCATAAGGAAAAAAAGAAATAAGAATGGTCACAATGCCTTCCACTTTTAAAGACTGCTAATGAGTTAGTGATTCTTGAAATACTCTGAAAATACACAGCCTAACACGAGAAACCTATCCTTTAATACGAAGCCAACACTGAACGGGTCACACAGTACGACACATTGGGCAGGGGATAGAGCATGGATTCTGACAATTTTCAAACATGCTTTCTATTTTTTAGCCACTTGACCTTTGACAAATTAATTCCACTTATCTGTGCTCCGGTTTTCTCATCTATAAAATGGGGTAGACACTAATACCTAACAGAATTGTTGTTAAGGTTAAATAAATAAGTATTTACTAAAATCAATTAGAATAGTGCCTGCTGCAAAAAATACTATGCAAATATTTATTAATAATAAATTATCTTAAAAATCTATGGGAGTACAGTCATCTCAGCCAGTGCCCATTTAATGTACTAAAGTTAGCAGATTTTGTCTGTACCCCTAAGGAAGATTTATTTTTCAGGATAAATCACTCAAAGGAAGGGCCTTTATATTTATTCAGAGTAAATATTAATTTGATGATTTACCCACTGATTGTACTTGCTACCTTCAGTATTAAAGTATTTTACACTCCCATCTTAAGACAGACAAAAAGAATTTTTTAATTTTAAATGAAGAAATAAAATATACTCAAAAGCAAACCTACTTATTCTAATATCTAGCACAGGAAGAGATTTTTCCGTGAGTAAATGAAGCACATTGGCTCTCATTGAGCATTTTAATGTGCCATCAACTCTATGCTTTGTTGAGTGTACCTTGGATGGAAAAGCTAACAAAAGGCTAACTGACTTTGCTTTCCTAAGACACAGCTATATAGGTTTACCAAAAAAAGCTCCATATGCTTTTCAAAGATTCTACCAGAAAATTCAATACCATCAAATGAGCAAAAGAGATTACCATCTAGAAAATAAGAAGAAAAAAGAAATAGAAAGAAAATATAAGAGATCTTAAAGACTGTCACTGATCTGTCAATTGTTTGATTTTTCTTGACAGACTAATCATGCATTGTACAAAACGGAGGCCACTAGTCACTTGTGGCTGTTTAAACTAAATTAAAATTTTCATCACACATTTCAAATGCTCAGTAGCCACCTGTGGCTGGTGGCTACAGTATTAGAACAGACATAGAACAGTTTCCAGCCCAGACCCTGAATCAGAATTTGCACTTTAACAAAATCCCCCAGGTGATCTGTAAACTCAAAGTGTGAGGAGCACTACCTAACCTATTCAACTATCTTTGGCTTCACAGTTGTACAAGTGCAAAATACTAAATTGATTTACAGGATAGTGAAACACTGATATCTGAGTCTTGTGAGAAAAGGCAAGAGTCAATTACTTGATATTATCTAATAGTAGGAAAAACACATCATCTTGATTTTCTAGAAACTCTCTAATTTTCTTTTTAGTTTTCCACAAAATAAACAGCTCTTCCTTTTGTCCCCAGATCCACAGTCAACGTTCACAAGGACTACTAAGAAAGTAACTAGAAACTCTAAATTTGGAGTCTTTTTTCTTGTCTTACTGTTGATCCTTCTGATGTTCTGTTGGATATTATTTATAAGAAAAGAGGTGAGCTAACTCAGAAATAAGACTCCGATCAAAATGCATGCAAATACATGAAGCAAGTTGAGAAAGGCTGCAGACTGAGAGAATGTTCATTCCACTAAGAAGTTGTGAAGTGTAACACAGACACTGTGTATTTATGGGAAATGCTGCCAGGCTTTCTCATCAAGACATTTTCAGATCCCATTCTTTATATTATTCTATGAAAATTGAGAGAGAATTGGTGAGATCCTTCAACCAAGATAAATTAATGCAATCTTGAAAACAGAAATGGCTTTAAAAACGAGAATCTAATGGGGCTCAAGAGTTTTAAGAAACACTGTCTCACAAGGCTATGAATTCCTCCACAAGACAGATGTCCTTGAAGACAGTGACTGTATTTTCCATTTATGTATGTCAAGTTCCTATACTAGTGTTTGTAACAGATAAATAAATATTTGTTGAATTAAATTCCATTGAATTCTCCTCAGGTCAGGGATGGGAAAAAGGACTTTCTACTCTATCATGCCTGGTGATCGGAGAGATACATATTATATCTAATTAAACATTTGATCATGTTCAAGTATCTCATTTTAAAATGCACTTAGTTGCCCACAGTAAGAATTTAAAAGCATCCTTACTTCAGAAAAGGAAGTAAAAATAGAATCATCTAGACAAAAACCTAAGTCAAATTATTTGAGATTTTCCACTATTATCTGCATTTTTGAAATAAACTGTTGAATAATTCTATTGATCACTTTTCTGTCAAATACATACCCCACCCCCGGAAATATTGTGTCTCTTTGCTGTGGCTCCTTCTCTTGCCGTCTTTAATGAAGCATAAAGCTTAGAAAATATTTCAGGTTGGTTATGGGTTGTTTTTTTTTTTTTTTCCAAATTCATGGTTCTATCTTTTTTTAATCTTACTTTTTCTGAATAACAAAAATATTAAGGAATTCATCATTGGTAAAGGCAATGATCAGATGTTTTGACAGGAGAAATAAGCCTTCTAATATAAATTTGACTTTTACTATTTCTGGTGTTTGTTTAGCTGTTCTACAAGTAACAGTATGTGGGCATCCACAGTAATGCAATTTGTACTGAGTAGAAAATGCACGTATAGTGCTGGGCATGCAGAAATGCTAAGCATAAAGACAAATGTCAGCATCAAGACAGGATCTGGATGAATCGTCATTGATCATTCTGTTACTGATGTTTTCTCCTGACATATATGGTGATTTCTCACCACTGATTCCCTCCATGACCTTGGACCCTTCACAACTGCTCTAAGTTTTCTCATCTGAAAGGGGGTGGATGATAAAAGGGACAAGGAAATGATGGGAAAAGATGACAACATGGACCAACCCCATAGAGATGGGGGCAAGTGAACCCCAGGCAATTTCTTTGGAACACTCCGTGAATACAAAGCTGTATTGACTGTTCTGGTTCTAGACAGGTATCACATGATACAGGTCTCATCCTATCTTCTCATTCTTCTTGAAAACATAGCTTGGAAGTTAAGCACAAGATGGAAATCTATCTAAAAAGAGCAACAACGAACATTAATAGAATCAACTCTCAGTTCTCTTAAAGAAGATTATCCCTGGCAAATCTTACCAGCAAAAACAAGATTCCACTTCACTGCTCACTTTTTTTAACAGCTCACATCTATTTACTCTTAACTTGGCATGCAGCTTGCATTCAAGTTCTCCAGTCATTTAGTAATGTGAAATTCATAGATTATTGTGGATGGAAGTGCCTTTAAAAATCATCTAGCCTCTCATCAATGTTGAATGACTCACAGAAGCTTGAACAATCCCAGTGATGTGGAACTCACTACTCCCTGAAGCAACCTAGTCTATCTTTGGACTGAGCCCTTGCTCTAGGAAAAAGGAAAACACTAGCTGTGTTTTTATGCCAGTCTGATACACAAACTCTCCTTTCCTAGCCCAGCATGTATTATAGGAAGGAGCTGAAAGCATTTAAGTAGGGAAATGGACAGTTCCCTACTCCAATTGTTTTAATGAATACAAGCCCAAACATTCAAAATAATCACAGAATAAAGGAAATGTTCATAATATCATAAACAACCATGTATCAATATGAATGAAACTGCTTTTCCAATACCAATATAAAAGATGACTACAGACACTATCTGTGATTAGCCATATTGTAGTCTCATGCTGCCATTTTTTACGTGATACCACCTCTAAGAAGAAGCCTAAATATGTAGCAAGAAATTAATCTTCTTTTCTTCTGTCCCCTATTAGAGTTACCTCTAGTTTATAACACATACACAAACCCTTGCTCATCCATCTTCATCCTCCCCAAACTACAATGATAATTCTTTTTTCCACTCTTTGTCATCTTTAATTCTCAAAAAACTATTTTATTCTTGCTAGCTCTACCTCCTTGCCACTCTTCTAGTCTTTAACCCCTCGGAGAAGCATAAAAATAAAGTTTTATGCCTCTTGGATGACCAGGCATAAAACTCACACTTTTATCCTCCATACAGTGCTAACACAGTTGACCCTTGAGCAACATGGTTTTGAACTGTACAAGTCCACTGATATGTGGATTTTGTTCAATACATATTACATTACATCATCATCTGGGGTTGGTTGAATTTGTGGATGTGGAACTGTGGATATGGAGGGTCAACTACAAAATTATATGTGGATTTTCAACTGCA